TTACTGATGGTCGAGTGACGAATATCCATTTGGCAATAAGGACAACAGACTGCTCTGGTGTAACACCGAGCGGGATTAGGCAAGATCAGTGTGTTACTATACTACACTTAGCAAGATTTTCATCACTTCAGGAGTGGGTCATTTCCTCCAGAAGCTTCCTTTTTACTGGCTGAGTGACCTGAGTGGACTTGTTTTGCATACTTGCTCGGTTGCGTTTTATCTTTCATGAAGTTAGGTAGATTCTGGTGCATGTACTTTACAAATGCAAGTATTGATGCTACTGAGGTGGTTCAGAGATGTCCCTGGTGCTGAAGGATGTCAACAGTTGGCTAAAACGCAGCTCGTGGTCAGACATCCCTTTTCTCTGGTGTGTGTATCACCTGCTTGTAGCTCAATGGCTGAAGTTAAGGTTACAGAATCTATGCAGTATCTGAGTGCGGACAATGTCAAAACTTTGTCAATGTTTGTGGTTACTTGCAGGAACTTTGCTCAATTTTATTTGACCTTAGGCTTTCACTTTTGAGTCACATCCTGCTCTGGTAGTTTGAGTAAGCTTTCCATTGAGTTGTTCCCAGATTTTTCCTTCTTTTTTGTGCTGAATCCTGATTAAATTATTTAGCTTGTGGATATTTTATTAATCTGTCCTTTTCAGAGATGTTATTGCACACCTCTGGAGCAGGTTGGACTTGGACTTGGACCTGGGCCCCCTGGCCCAGAGACAGGGGCACTACCACTGCACAGAGCCCTCTGGCTTGATTTTATGCTTGTAACCCGTATCAAGTAATTATTCTCCACTCATTCCCATGCTTGAGACGAGATGCTACATCAAGAAACGTGGTAAGAACTCCACCAATGTGCTTGTCCTGTCATCCCAGTCTCACCGTTTGTCTGCGTTAGAGGACATCCAACACTTGCCAGCCCAACGTTTCGACCTTGTTTTATTCACTGCCGTGCAAGTCAACAATGGGATCTTGCTTTTGTTATGTAGGTGTTTGCAGAGTCCCAAGTTGGTCTCTCTCTTGCAATAAGCAGCTTGACAGCTTTTGCACTTAGAAGGTTGAATAGCATCCATCAGACACAGTTAATCAGCAACTATGCAAATGGTTAACTGAATGGACAGTGTATACACGGAAGAAACCCAAGACACTATTGAGACATTGTTCCACCATGTTCAATAGTTACTTCCTGGAATCATCTCCAATTCTGATTTGATGCTGTGTGGTGCACCATCGCACTTAACATCCTCAGGCCTTTCTTAAGGATTAGCTGTCCTGTTATGCAATGCATGACTGCTCCTGTTGACAAATTGGCCCTGACGGCTGGCATTGTCGTTCTTGAGCGTTGGTGTGGATGTCCGTTCCCATGGACTGTGTGGGGCTGAGTAGGGAATCTCATTGTAGCTACAGGCCAAAGTGAACATCACCTGGGCACAAGGTTGGATCTACCATGATAATGTAATACTGTGTGCCTGGAGGATGAAATCGTGTCTGTTACACATTGTGGCTTTCACTAATACTCCATTTCTCGATCCACGGTAGTCCATTAATAAAAACCAAAAGAACTGGGGATGCTGTAAATCGGGAACAAAAACAAAGTTGATGGAAAAGCTCAGCAGGTCTGGCTGTCTGTGTGTGTGTGTGTGTGTGTTTGTGTGCGTCTGTGACTGTGAGCGCTTGTGTGTGTCTGCGTGTCTCTGTGTGTGTGTGTGTGTGTGTGTGTCTGCCTGTGTGTGTCTGTGTCTGTGTGTGTGTGTGTCACTGGTTCTCTCTAACTGTCCTTGAACTAAGTGGCAGTTCTGAGGAAGGGTTACCGGACCCGAAACGTTAACTCTGTTTTTTCCTTCACAGATGCTGCCAGACCTGCTGAACTTTTCCAGCAACTTTGTTTTTGAGCCCATTAATAAAACCTGTTTTCCAATTATCCAAATACATTCACTGGTCATGAATGAACATAACTCGGATACTAACCTGTACTCTCCAGCACTTCACAAAATGTTATCACGGCTGAACTGGGAAGACTTCTCTGCCGATCGAGACCTACCTTTTTTTCTCCCCCACAAATTGTCACTAAATGTATAAAACCGCAATGAGAGCATTGAGTTATTTGCCTGCCTGCTGTTCAGGATAATGGTAATTTGCACAAGTTTCATCGATAACATAAAATAATTCAATTGATTGTGACAAATTTACCTTTAAACCAATGGCAGAGAAAAGAAAGGATTCATAATCTACCACTGTACTACTTAAACTATACCCCCTTTCATAAAGAAACCCAACCCAAATACACGCGCACATTCATTCACAATTAAGACTGAAAAGACAGGCAGTTTGACACAAATATTAAAGGTGGAAATAAAGGTATAGATGTGGAACAAAAATTCTGAAGGTTAAAAGTTTAAACCACAAGGATAAATGATTTCATCTTTCCCAGTTCGTGTTGATTTTTTTTGGCACTGATGGTACGCTGTTATCTGTAAAGTGTTAGTCATTCTTCATTTACATGGTTGCTTGGGTGGACGTAGGCCTTTTCCTGTTTGAATCGATTGTAATCTATCAATGTTGCCAGCTCTGGATGTCCCTAGCTGCCCTGGACCTTTTTAGAATTGTAGCATACTGCAGTTCAACCAAACCGAAGGCCAGCGTCAAGCAACCCTTCCTTAACTCAAATACTCTCGGTATCATTCTTGTCTCATAGTATCCCCTCGCTGCTTCTTAAGGCAACATTGTCTTGCACCGCTAAAAATGTTCGCCTCTTGATTTTTCCAGATTGCAAACCTCTCCCAGTATTGCAGCAATAGAGCAGTATCCAACTTCCATTCCAATTAGGTTTGGTTTCATTTATTGTTGTCACACATAGCTAGGTACAGTGAAAAGTTTTGTTTTGCGACCAGTACAAGCAAGTAAGGACATACAGATCATAGGGTGTTTAGACAGAGCGAGACGTACAGGGTTATGGCTGCACCAGGAGGTGCATAAAGCAAGGCCAACATTAGATTTGAAATATGAGAGGTCCATTCAGAACTCTAATAACAGCGGGGAAGGAGCTGTTCTTGAACCTGTAGGTGCGTGTGTTTAAGCTTCTGTATCTTCTGCCCAATGGAAGAGGTTGTGATTATAGGGGGTGACCTTATCTTCCACATGCCTGAATCCTGCTTGCCTCCTGAGTCTTCGTCCTAGGTCAGGAAAAATGCTCCTACAGAGATGATGTTGGCTGCTTCACTGAGGCAGAGGGGAGTCCATAGATGGGAGGCTGGCTTCCATGATGGACAGGTCTGTGTTCACAACTTCGTGGTTATTTATAGCCCAGAAAGGAATAATATGTGGCCCTTTACAATGTTGTATCTGGCTGTATGCAGCTTGCCATTGAGACTGCAATGTAGGATGATTCCTGAGATGGCAGGACTGACCTATAAAGAGAGACTGGATCGGTCAGGACTATATTCCTTGGAGTTTAGAAGAATAAGTGGGGACCTCCAGGAAACCGGTAGCATTTTAACAGGACTATGCAGGAATCGCTGACTAGGGAGTTCAGAACTGGGGTCACAGTTTAAGGATACAGGGTAGACCATTTATGACAGAGATGAGAAATTTCTTCACCCAAAGAGTGGTGATCCTGTAGAATTCTGTCGGAGAAAGAGTTGGAGGCAAAAACGTTGAATGTTTTCAAGAAGGGGTTGGATTTAGTTCTTTGGGCTAAAGGGATTGAAGGGTGTGAAGAGAAAGCAGGAACAGAGGACTGAGTGCGATTATCAGCCATGAGCGTATTGAATGGCAGAGCAGGCTTGAAGGGCCGAATGGCCTACTGCTGCTCCTAATTTTTGTGTTTCTATCATAGAATTGGCAGTAAGTCTAGAAATGGAAGAGAGGGGAGGAACTCAGGGCGGGGAAAATTACAATTGCTGGAGAAATGTGGTAATGGGAAGAATCCTCCTGGTTGGTGGCCCTGAACTGTACGCTTTGTGACCTTTTACAGCACCAACTCCACCTCTCCCTTGTCTGGACTGTGTCCACACAGAATTCATTCAATTGCTTGGTTATTACAACTGTTAGGACAAATGTCCTCTCGCCGACCAATTTTAAAATTTGAAGCTGGCAATGCAAATTTTGAGATTACGTATCATGAGATAAAGCAGTGTTCTGTGTCACAGGCACAGCGGTCTCTTAGGCTTCAATCATCACCTCCAGCTCCTAGGCCCGATGATGCTATGAGGCAGGTACAAGTGCACAGACCATAACGCAAACGTAATTTCACAAGTGGAGAAATACAAGACCAGGGGCTGGATAAGTAAAGTAGTCACTAATATTTCCAGTGATAGAAGCTCTGTTTACTCAGAGTGGTGAAGTTGTGGAACATTCTACTACAAAGACCAGTTGGGATGATTTTTTAAAAAAATTATTCATTCACGAGATGTGGGCATCGCTGGCTATGCCAGCATTTATTACCCATCCCTAATTGCTTAGAGGACAGTTCAGAGTCAACCACATTGCTGTGGGTCTGGAGTCACATGTAGGCCAGACCAGGTAAGGATGGCAGTTTCCTTCCCTAAAGGGCATTAGTGAACCAGATGGGTTTTTCTGACAATCAACAATGGATTCGTGGTCACCATTAGACTCTAATTCCAGACTGTTTTAAATATTGAATTCAAATTCCACCGTCTGCCACGGTGGGATTTGAACCTGGGCCCCCAGAATGTTACCTGGGTCTTTGGATTAACAATCCAGCGATGGTACACTGGGCTGTCACCTCCCCATAACATTGATTTTTTTAAGGGAAAGCTGGATAAGCACATGAGGGAGAAAGGTTTAGAAAGTCACACAAATCTGGGGAGATGAAGCAAGGTATGAGGTGGCTTGTGTATAAGCATAAACGCAGGCCCAGACTCACTGGTCTCCTCCTGTGCTGCTGGTTCCACATCATTCTGTGCCACTTACTTTGCAGTGAGTTCCTTCCTTCCCTGTGCTGCAATTTTTCTCACCATGCGTCTCTCGCCTTATCCTCAGGTTATACTCCTGCTTGGCCAATGGCAGTGCTGATGAGTTTCAGCGAGGGGAGCAACTGTTCAGAGTGCGGGCTGTCAAGGATCCACTGCAGATCGGTAAGCTGTTGCGTGGAAACCTCATTCCCTGTGTGTGTGTGTGTGTGTGTGTGTGTGTGTGTGTGTGTGTGTGCGCGTCTGTCTCATAAAGGACCATTTCTGAGGAAGGGTCCAGACCCGAAACATCAGCTTTCCTGCTCCTCTGATGCTGCCTGGCCTGCTGTGTTCGTCCAGCTCTACACCTTGTTATATTACCCAATGGGCCATCCCGGTTCAACCAACAGACAAAGCGTTCAGAAGGCAAGTGACCGCTATTGGTGTGTAGAGATCACGTGCGCTATTTGCAGGACTGGAGATTTTTAGATACGAGGGAAAACTAGATGGAGTTATTACCTTCACAGCAGAGGAGGCTGATGAGTTGTAAGTAAAAGATGTACAATTATCAGAGGCCTAGCTGGAGGTAGATAGAAAAGACCTGTTCCCCTGAGCGAGTAGATTACTAAGCAGAGGGTAGAAGTTGTAAAGTAAGTGAAAGCTGGAAAATAGGATGAGATATACAATGTGATTGGACGAAGGAGACATGATGGGCTAAGTGGCTGCTTTCTTTTTTTTTTAGTCTCTAGTCTCTCGTGTCTCTCGGCTTTTTAACTTCACTTTTCCTCAACTTTGCTTTTTGATTGCCTGGTTTATGTTGAGAGGTCAGTGGGTGTGGGAGGAGGAGTGCTCCCGACATGGTCTTCTCTACCCTGGGGAGACGGCGTGTGGGCCGGGTGACCGACTTTGAGGAACATGTACATTCTGCCCATAAAAATTACCCCAAGCTTCCAGCTGCTTGTCACTTCAGCGCACTCACTAAGGTCTCTGCCTCGGGGCTTGCTGCAATGCTCTGTTGAGTACGAGCTGGAAGAACAGCATCGCGTTTTCCACTTTGGAGAGGGGACTCTGCAGCCTTCAGGACTCAGTATGAAGTTCCATAATTTTAGGGCCTGAACACCTTCTGTGTCCTTTACCAACCCCTACATCCCAGACCCTGTCATGACATGAACCGTTCCAGCACAGCCTAACCATTTTCACCTACTCATGGACACCATTATGAGCTTTTCTCCTTCACTGGCTCACCATTATCCATTTTTGTCTGCGTAATTGTCATCCTCTCTCTCAGGGCTCCATCTCTGTCTATTGGCTCACTCCTTTTTACCCCACCCCACCCTCTGTCTTCAGCATATATACCACATGATCTTAGCTGCTATCGGTTCTCAAGAGGGCTCACTGGACTTGGATCGTTAGCTCTGTTTCTGTCTCTCTACGGGTGCTGCCATGCGTGCTAACTTTCTCCAGCCATTTCAGTTTTGGTTAGGTACAGCCTCTGAGTCATATAGTCATAGTCATAGTCATAGAGTCGTACAGCATGGAAACAGACCCTTTGGTCCAACCGTAATCATAAACTAAACTAGTCCTGCCTGCGCTTGGCTCATATCCCTCCAAACATTTCTTATTCATGAACTTATCCAAATGTCTTTTAAACATTGTAACTGTACATGCATCTACCACTTCCTTTGGAGGTTCATCCCACACTTGAACCACTCTGTGTTTTTGTGTCCTTTTTAAATCTTTCTCCTCTCACCTTAAAAGAGTGCCCCTTAGTCTTGAGATCCCCCACCGTAGGGAAAAGACACCTGCTATACACCTTATGTCTCCCCTTCACGATTTTAAATACCTCTGTGGGGTAGCCGTATTTACTACTGTAACTGTGTCCCTGGTCTATTGCCTATTTAATGGCATTTCCATGTGCCCTGACCATCTGTGATGGTGGCTGTTCTGGTGACAGCCAGCTCTGCATTGCCACACTGCACCTGATAGTTGACCATGGCAAAACTCTGGAATGCAGAGGGACGATCCGTTTGCGAATTCCATTGAATTGACCTTGAGAAGGTTCCTTTGCTCTGTCTACAGACTTGGTCTGAACACAGAACTTCCACATTGGCATTCCACATAACTGGGTATCTGATGGAGTTCACGATTTGTTTGAAACTTCCTAAGCCCTCTAGACGTCTCCTGAGCTGCAAATAGAATGCTGGTGCGAATTAACTACCACTTTCAACAAAACCAAGGACTGCGGATGTGGTAGATATGAAACAAAAACAGAAATTTCTGGAGAAACTCAGTAGTACTAGCAGCATCTGTGAACAGAATAAGAGAGTTAACATTTAGACTTAAATGACACATTTCTGAAAAATGATTTATTGGTTTTGGAGAACTTTGGAACCCCACAAAAACTGTGAAAGAGGCTGCATGCCCTGATTTCTATTTTCTTCCTTTTCTTTGTTTGTTCTTTGCTTAAGATACTGAACAAGACAAGGCTAGCGGGAGGGAGTATATAAGTCTCCCCACTTCCGATGATTGTTACATTAGGCCAGGCTAGTGCATTAAGAAGGTTTTGATTATAGGATTCATTTCAACAAAATTGCTGGTTCACTGAAGGAAATGCTTAGACCAGGAATTTCTAATGGACCATTGTGTAATTACTAATGAGCCAACATGAGCGCACACAGGCTCAGATGAAATTGCTTTACATTTGGAAAACATTAGCAAAGTTATTCGTTTGCAGACACCAGCTTACTGTAGATGATTTATCACTAAGTGTGGGCCGTAGAGGGCTCAGAACTGAAGCAATTCCAGTGTTGAGTTTGGAATCTTACAGTATTTATCCACACCATGCTGGTTATGTCATCTCGTTTTCAATCTGTCAAGGTTTTGCCTGAGGCCTAACTGTTTTTCTGCAAATGTTTGCCATGAAGTCACACAGTGTGGCCATCTGCACTTGGGCCACTCCCTCTCCCTCTCTCTCTGCACCTCTCAGCAGGCATTACAATGTCCTGTTGTTTGTTTGGCCTGACTAGTATGGGGCTTGCTTCTTTCCTGAAAGCAGGACAATTCCCCATCACCATCCAACCACAGCCCAACTTGGGTGGGCTCCCTTTAGTTCACAGTCTGATTTTTAACTCTGTCATGGTTAAAAGGTAAAATCCTCACCTTTTAGTGTTAAATACCTCTGCTTGGAGTCGTTGATGTGGAGGTGCCGGTGTTAGACTGGCGTGGGCAAAGTCAGAAGTCACATGACACCAGGTTATAGTCCAACTCCTGATGAAGGAGCAGCGTTCCAAAAGCTTGTGATTTCAAATAAACCTGTTGGACTATAACCTGGTGTTGTGTGACTTCTCACTGAGTGTCATAAAGCTGTACAGCATGGAAACAGACGCTTCGATCCAACTCATCCATGCCGACCAGAAATCCTAAATAAATCTAGTCCCATTTGCCAGCATTTGGCCCATATCCCTCTAAATCCTTCCTATTCATATAACCATCCAGATGCCTTTTAAATGTTGTAATTGTACCAGCCTCCACCACTTCCTCTGGCAGCTCATTCCATACCTGCACCACCCTCTGCGTGAAGAAGTTATCCCTTTTAAATCTTTGCCCTCTCATCTTAAATATATGCCCTGTAGCTTTGGACTCCTCTAAGACCAAGGATATTCACCCTAACAATGGCCTTATCATTTTAAAAACTTCTATAAGGTCACCCCTCAGCCTCTGAGGCTCCAGGGAAAATAGTCCCGGCCGCTCCTATAGCTCAAACCCTCTAATCCTTGTAAATCTTTTTCTGCACCCTTTAATACTTAATTCCTCTGAATAATACAGCTGATTTCCATTTATTCTGTGGCTGAAGGCAATCCTTTTCCACAGAACAAACCATTGAGCAACTTTAAAGCAAATAATTACTGACTTTGTCAGTAATCTGCATCTGCAGGCATGCTTTTGCTTGTCTTTTGTTCCCGACTTGCCTGGATGGGTGCAGCTCCCATAACACCCAAGCAACGTGGCACCACCCAAGACACAATATCCACAAACGTCCGCTCCTTCCAGCACAGTAGCTGCAGTGTGTACCGTCCACAAGACGCCCTGCAGAAATCCACCAGTGATCCTGAAACAACACTTACTAAACCCATCTAGAGGGACAAACGCAGCAGATACTTGAGAACACCACCACCTGCACGTTCCCCTCCAAGCCACTCGCCATCCTGACTTGGAAATATATCTCCGTTTCTTCAGGGTCACTGGGTCAAAATCTTGGAATTCCCTCCCTCCACAGCATTGTAGGTCAATTTGTGGCACATGGTTGAAACAGCCAAACCTTCTCAAGGGCAATTAGGGGTGGGTGATAAATGCTGACCCAACCAGCAACACCCACAACCCATGAATGAATAAAGAAAGTATCCATTTTCCAATCGCTGAACAGTAACAACATGTTGACTTGACAACTATCTGAGTGATAGAGTCACAGCTGACTGACCTGTATTGAGCACTTTCAGAATGTGAATAAGATCCCATTTTTGATCAGTAATTGTTCCCTGATTTTAGAGCTGCTGTTAAGTGTATTATGATGATAATATGTATGTTAGTGGTGTGATGTATGTGTGTGACTCTGACATCAATAGTCATATACTATTGAGACACTGTGGGAGGAGTGGAATAACTGTACAAGAGATCTGTAATGTAAAGATGAGTAGTCTCTATAATGCTATTTTAAATAAGAGTTAATTGGACCTCGAGAGAGGCAGACAATCGTTGCTCCTAATTAAGGCTGAGATGGAGATACAGCAAATTCAGAGAAGGAGCAACTTAGTGTAAGAGAGTATTTCTGCAATGTGGGACTGATTGCAGATGGCATCAGTATAGGCAAAATGCAGGAGGACTGAACAATGGAGTTGCATAGTGTGGGGGTAAATCCATCCATAGTGTCAGTACAAGCCAGAACATTTTGTTGAAATACCTTTTATAAAGAAAGGGGTGTTAAAACAAGAAATGCATAAAAACAAAGAAACCTAGAAGACATGCCATTTGTTATGATCATGACTATTCATTGAGCTTAATAATCT